TTTACGTATACATTTCAACACTGAATATAAATATATTTAGTTATAATTATTATAATTATTTAAATGATTTTTGTTTAAACAAATTAATTTTTTTTTATTTGGAAATAATTTTTTGTTAAATACAGATAAAATTAAGAAAAAATAGTACTTTAAAATTATAATTTTTGAAAAAAACTAAATTGCAAATTGACAAATGTAATCTAATTGTCTAAAAATAAAAAAAAGAGTGGTAACTTTAAAAATTTACTGCGGCCGTCCTAATCAACCGATTTCAATTTTTCAAAAACCATTTGAAAGGTTGAGCGGCCTTTTCTATGTGAAAAAATTTTAAAGTATTTAGATGCTTTATTTGAGGCTGTGCAATATTTTGAAAATTCAAAATTTTTTTTTAATTTCACGTAAAATCACGTAAAAAACAGCTACTAGAAAGAGATATTTCTGTAATTATTTTGTTAAAAGAGTGCAAAAAAACTGTTCTCTATGTTATGCTTTTTCTTAAATACATACATGTAACTTTTCTCGTATTATTTATTAAATTTTATATGCTTTATTCATTTACTACTTACATACCGTAATTGTAACTGTACATGTGAGTAACATCACTAAATCAATAATTAATTTGTGGAGTAGTTAAGTAATATAACAACTTCTGTAATGACAACGTATTTAGAGTATTATATACGAGAACATAATCTGGATTAGATTACTAATCAAATGATCTATCTAGCTAAAATAATTGCTCAATTTCTAAAGTTAAATTCCCTCTGAGAGAGACTAAAAATAGTACGAATTGAATCGAGCTCAAACATGCAACAATTTTTTCAGTTCTGTCTGTTAAATTATCGATTTTTGTTCGGCGTGGTGTTTTCCAATTTCTGGTTGATTGGTTGTCCAAACCATTGTATCTCGACAACTTGGATGTACTGTATTTTAATAAATTTACTTGTAGTTTTTAATTATTTTGTAATACAATAGAACGCCTTTGTAGATCAGAAATTAAACGGAAAACTTCGATAATCCGTAGAAAATAAATGTAAAAAGCGTGTTTTTGTTCTATAGAAAACTGGATGTTGAACTGAAATAGCACATAAAGTGACCTATTTCGCTTGAAAGGGCCGCATTCAATCGTGAACGTCTCCTTTTAGAAGGGTGCAAGGGCGTTCTTTTCCCATTGTGATCCGCATCCTCTTTGATATCTAGATTTAAGGCGCCAATGAAAGATTAATTCGCTATTTCTGCAGAAGTGACACTCCATTAGGTTCCATTTTTCCCTTTCCAAGAGAATTTTATTCCTCATATGGACGTGTAATCCGATAAATTCAATTTTGTTGACAAAAAATAGAAGGTTAATTTCAAGGTTGATACATTTTTACAAAAATATTAAATACATTTCACAGCAGGTAATAAATTTTCTGAAAATACGTCATATACCGGTATAGCTCATTTTAAAATTTATCTTATTTAAAAAAATTCTATTTAGTAATATTTCCACAAATAAGATACTTAAATTAATAATAAGCATTTAATTTATAAGCATAACTAAAACCGTTGAAACTGCAAAGTGGTGCTTAGATTTGATAATAAAAATTGCTAAAATTTATTGAGAACTACTGGAATCACCCCTACTTAAAAAGAGAAGAATAGGTGTAGACGTAGATAGCAAGCCGTCTGCTTTTTTGTATATTTTCTGTAATAAAAAAAAATGTTAGTTATCGATTCTACTTTTGGTTGCATTACTGAAATGTGTATCTTATATCTTCTAAGTTTCAAGAAAAAATGTTAGTGAAGAAACGTTGAGGTTGTGGTTTGTTTTTCAAATTCAGCGGTTCCAAAAATGTTTCATCATTTTACTGTGGCGGATGCCAAACAGTCAGTGGATACTAAAAATAAGTATTTCTGCCAATCGAATTTTCACACATCGATTTATTTATTCTTCAAATACCCTTTCCAAGATTGTAAAACTCTGTATACAGGGTTCGCCACATAAGCCTCCAAGCTTCTTATCTTCCATTTTTAAGTTATTGCAACAATTCAGGTATATATTCGTAGATCTTTTTAAGGTCTTCTGAGCTAACTGTTTAATAAAAAAAAACAAGTGGTTAAAACGAAATGGCAGCTGTTTATTTTTCCGAAAGTGTTTTTGCGTTAACGTACTTCATAAAAATGTATTTATTGCATTGAATAAGTCGTGAAACCGGCTGTAATTTGATCTGTGGGTCGATAGCTGTTGTTGCTATAGAAAGTGTTTCTAATAAGATAAGAAATTGGACATGATTTAAATTAGAAAGGTTCAAGAACATAGAAAAACACTTTCTTAAGTCCATTTGTGGTCTTTTATTCGAATACTAGCTGTCCCGACAGATGTTGTCCTGTCCAAATTTCAATTTTATTTGTGATCGTTTTATCAATTCGTGAAAAGCTATTGGAAATGTGTAAACAAAGTAAAAATGAGAAAAAGACGTATTTCTGAGTGATCATCTATTAACGTTATTCAGTTTGAGGAGGAGTACTTTCAGAAATTCGGCAATGGGAAACTTTACATGAGTTAGGCTGGAATGCGTTTTTCCAGATTTTTCTCCAGATTTTCCAGATTTTTTTTTCAATTGAAAACAATCAATTGAATTATTTCCTTATCGGGAATATAATGAACAAACCAAAAAAAATAATCAACCAAATATGTCGTTTCTATCGTCAGTTATGATCGAGAGTGCATACAAAAATTATGATTTTATTTATTTTTTCCAAATTTTGCGACCTTCGCTTATGAATGTCTCAATTTTTTTTCTGAAAACTTTTCCAGGACCATAACGAACAAAACAAAAAAAGAATTACGCATATCCATCGTTCGAATTGTGAATTCAGTCTTCAGTTCATATAAAAATCCCATAGGAAAAAGCATTTTCAGTTTTTCCCGAATTTTCCAATTCTCCGGGCAACTTTTCCACTATTTCTTTCCCTAAAAACCTTATTCGGACTATTACGAACATTAAAATTGCCAAATCGGTCAAGCCGTTCTCAAGAGTATGTATGTAGATTGAATCAGATTTTTAATGTGACCATTCACTTTCTAACGACAATGGTCAGTTTTTTTTTTTTTAATTCAAATTTATCAATATTTTTGGAACATTTTTAGAATGAAATTGACAAGTACCTTTAAAGTGAAATAAAAAAATTCTACTGATCACTACGTTGAAAATATCTATTTTGACAAACAACCCATAATTCTTGTCTGGAGTCAAGGCAGTTCCAAGAACTTTTTAAAACCTTTCTATTTGTAGAGACGGAATCCTGGCACCTGGTCTCCACCTCCACGAGCAAACCCAACGAGCAGTACCCACCCCCTCGCCACAAGCACTCAGCCGTGATGCACGGCGACGCCATGTGGGTCTACGGCGGCATGACGGACCTGCAGGAGCGCTCAGACCTGTGGAAGTGGGACGCTTCGTCGAGGACGTGGCATCTGGTGAAGACCAAGCTCAACCCGGGACCGCTCCACAGCCACGCCGCCTGCAAGACACCCTCTTGTATGGTGGTGTTCGGAGGCGAGAGAAACGGCCAGACATGCAATGATCTGTGGAAGTTCACCTTTGGTAAGTAAATTTTTCCTATCCTTTAATGAAAAATACTGACGCAAACCGTTTTTTAGCTTTGGAAACTTGGGAGAAGATAACCATCACCGGTTTAAAGCCCCAACCTCGCGCGGAAAGCGTGGCTTTTACTGTATCCGAGCTGCTATTGAACGGCACCACCACCACGGCTGCCATGGAGTCGACGATGATGAAAATGCGCGTGAGGGGGTGCACTTCAGCAGACAGGGGCAATCGACATTCCTCCTATCTTCCAAACAATAAGGTACGTTAAAATAAAGTTTATGGAGGTAGTCACGACGTGAACATTTCCTTTTATTGGTGGCTTACTTACTTTACTGGACTGCTCGGCAAGCAACGAACGGTTAATGTTTTAATCAATACGTTTGTTTGTTAGAAAAATTATGGCATGCCCATGGTGTACATTCCAAGAAACAGTACGTAAATAAATTAGTTTTAGTTATATTTTCTAACAATGGTTCTCGAAATACAATTTGTTTCGATCAGTAAAATAGATTTTTTTAATTAAACGAAACGAAACGTAATATAAAAAAAAGGATAACTGATGTTAATATATAAAAACATATAAATACCTACAAGAAGATTAAATAGAAATAGAAATATAAAAATTAGATGGAGAAGGGCTTAAAGGGCTTTCTTTATGTCGTTAACAGTGTATGCATGTATGTATGTATGTATGTATGTATGTATGTATGTATGTATGTATGTATGTATGTATGTATGTATGTATGTATGTATGTATGTATGTATGTATGTATGTATGTATGTATGTATGTATGTATGTATGTATGTATGTATGTATGTCGGAGGGTGGTAGAATTGTTTTTCCACCGCGGCACTGAAACCTTATTAGGCCCCTTGTACACCCTCCTTCATTACTCGAGTACTTTTCTTCAAACTATCCTATTTACTACACGGATGGCTTGGTGGCAAAGTCTCGTACAGTTTATGTATGATAGCATGGTCTTGAGTTACAGAGATTTTCTTTGCTCTGTTCTCATTACCATTTATCCGGGACTACACCCATGCGGCAAATGTTGGGCGACCCAGGTCTCTGGTAGGCTGCCACATCCACGTCACCGAGCCTGCCTTAGGTCACCAATCCAAATTCCAGCCTGCGTCCGTGATGCTTGACTCGGCAGATCGAAATCCGCCGGCCAAGACACCCGGCTAGGCGGTCCCCGTCGTTAACAGTGTAAAATCAGATCGATTTTCACACTTCTAGTAATCATCTGGTGGAGTTGTCATGCCCTTTGGTCTCTGTTGAGTCTACTCTTATCCACTGTAATGTCTGATCTGACAATTGAATATGCTTAGAGACATACATACATTTGTTTGGTAGGACTTGTACTTCTTTGACATCTTTATAGTGCTAGGTTCTGCTAACACTTTGCTCACTTAGAATTTTTGGCCACAGTTCTGAATCAGGGCATTATCTTTTGGACTACAAGATTTTGTCTCATTTTTATTTCTTTCGGCTCAATGAACATCCATAAATTCGCCTCGAAGCGAAATAGATAAAATTGGATACACATTTATTAATCCAATATGTTGTAATAATCTTGGGAGATGTGAACTTTTCTTACCTTTATTTGCTTATTTTATTTTGCTTCTTCTTCTCAGTGTCCTATTTCTTGTTTGGGCGCCAGATCACATGAGCATATAGTTGTAATTCAATTTTAAATTTTGTCTGCTAAGTTTTCAGTCTTTGTTCAAAAAAAAATTAAAATTAAGATAAAATAATTTTTAACTTGAGCAATCTTACCTCAGTTTGAGGTTCTGAGAAAGCTTTGTATTTTTGATTTTAAAATTTTATATTAATCAATGAATTTGTGTAATTGATATTGAGAAAGAAAAAAATTGTATTTTAATTTTACTTTACCACAATTACTATATTTATCAAAAAGAAGATTTCAAACTCATTTAACTACTATCATCTACTGCATTTTTAAATTAAATATGAGGGTTGCTTTCGCTTTACAGCAAGAATAAAACTCTTTCTCAACGGTACTAATAAAGTATTTTATTGAAAAGTAAGTTGTATAGAAAAAGACGTGTTGATGGGGTGAGTGTTCGTTGGAGAGAGTTGGAGTGTGTGGAGTCGGTCGTAGGTATGTGAGTACGCATCTGGTCGCCGGCGCCAGTCCGCCGTAGACCCTTCCTGGATCGCTGGTGCGTCCGGCGGCGTCCTGCTGGCGCTTTTGACATAATGCTTAAAAATGGGTCACTTGCGAATATGTGTACCCACAAATAAAAGAAATTTTATGTGATTAGCTAACATTTTGTTTATTTATTCTAATTTCAATGCCAAAACTTGTTACACTTCTGGAAACAGAAGTATTTTTAATCTACCCTACGCCAATCCTTATACTAAAACTTAACTTAAACAATAATGTTCAAAATACGAATATTCCATACTAAGTTTCACTCAGGTCTATATAAATTTTAGTTAGTTTACCTTTCGTTAATACTGCCCGATGCACTAAACTTATTTTTCTTTTCTCCGTGATCACTTCTAGTTTCACTATGCACCCTCTAGCTTTATTAATATTCCTTATTCAACATCTGTTTATTCCGTGTTGTCTTGTACTCCTGTTTCCTGCTGTATACTTCTGCTCCCTGACGTGACTTGAGTTATGTCTATTTCTTCTCAAATTTGGGTTTTTCTCTATAACACGTTTTAATCTTGTTTTCGTTATTAGACTTACTTGTATTTGTATCTTCCGTAATCTTCAATCAAAATGTGTATCGAAACCGTTTTCATATATTCTCTCTGATAAATGATTTTTCCTTTTCTTAGTACTTTTATTATCTTCTGCGAATAACTTTATCTTCCTTATTTATTAAAAATTCTACTCTTCAAAAATTCTAGCTGTCATTTCAATTGTTATTATTATTTTTTCCCCTAGTAACCCAACACTTTTTCTTTCATGTCCCACTAATTTTATTTTAAACCTTAATTCTAGTATTTTTACCAATCACAATTTTCAATTTTGAATAATAATATACTTCATTACATTACATTTATGTAAATTTTTCCATTTATTTTATGTATTTTCTTTTTCAATGTCAAATACCTCCTGCCCTCCTATTGGTTAATTTATGTCCACTTATACTCTTTTGATTAACAACTTACTCAAACTTATAATTTATTTCACAATCAATTTTGACAAATTTTTTTTTTAATTTGCTTTTCTCTTTAATATTTTAAAATCCTTGCTCGAATTCTTTCTATTGCAATATATTCACAAATAACTATATATGACATTGGGGAGAACTATATACAAGCCTGCATAGAGGCTGAAGAATTCGAAAGTTTCGTGAAAATTTCAACTTCAACATCTCGGCTTCGCTCACTTAGCTTTCCTGCTGTTTTTAGATGTCTCTGATTGTGATTCCTCGCGCGGACTATAGAGCGGCGTATGTGTTCTCTAGACTACTTCGCATTGGGAATTCGAAAGTGAGGTGATTTTTTATGGTCTAGCCTAGACCTTTAAAAGTAGACATATATTCATCAAATTTAACACTAAAGTCAATAAAATGCGTAACTGTATAAAATAAACTCACCAATTTTGTGATCAAAATCTAGAGTACTTTGTTTTGCGCCGATTGTAGATCATAATTTTACATTTGTTTACATTCAGAGGTAAATGATCAATTTATACATAATCCATTCATTTTGTCGAGATTATCTTGTAATTTAGTACCATTAGTAGTAAATTTAACTTCCAAAACAACTTAAGGTTGTCCATATAGAGTATGCAAATAACATCAAGGCATTTGATTAAATCATTAATAAACATAACAAATAAGTGTAGCCTCAGAATTAACCCTTGGGGAAGATTGAAGAAATGTATTTATTTGATGATTACAATTTAATATATTTCCCCTTTCTGTAGCTTCAGGAATTAACTAAGTTTTTCAGCGAGATCTGAAGAAGAAGATCAACCAATCGTAAATTTGTGTTGCTAAGGATATAATAATTTTTCAACATCAAAATAATTTCGACTATTTGTACTAACTGTAAAATTATTCCAACAATTTCAGAGAATATTGATTTTACTGCATCATAATTTATCAAATGTAAGACACATATAATGCAAGATACCAGCCTAAAAACTTTAAGAGAAATATTTAACCTTCAGGTGATCTCTGGAGGTCACTTTAATCTATGAGTCAAACCTCATCCAAATGTAAAATTATGTAAAAATGGGGTTTTCTATTCGAGAAACGAAAATTCGCCTTTAAACGACCTTGAAAATTACTCTTGAAGTTAAATCCTAGGTCACTAAGTGGTGGTCCCCTATGACCTGAACAACTTTTGTAAAAGTCATTATCGTGATGTCTCAATATCCTGAATATTTTGCGTAATTTTGCTTTAGCTTTAATTACATGAAAAGCACTTTTGGTGAACTTCATCTACGTTGAAAAAATATTTCTATTTATCTATGTCTATAATATAATCAGAATAGGATAATTGACTTTTGAGTTACAATTTAATTTAAGTTTAATTTTTAGTTACAAGTTTTAGAGAATGCATGAAACTCTTCAACTGCATATTGATCTGAATATAAATATTCTAAATATAACATTGGAAAGTACCTTCCATTCTTCTTTTTAATATGAACATGGTGCACCATTTTTAATTAGATTGTTACAACCAATATCGAAAAGTATCTGTCCAACTTTTTAAGGTTGCACCTTGCGAAAAGACGTACGTATTCCAACCGTCCCAAACCAACTATAACGATGGCAGCGATCTAGCTCAACAATACTCAGAAGCCAACAGATCCTCCAGGAGTTTCCTCCAAGAGATCTCCAAGCTGTCCCAACTGAACATCCCCAGGATGAGTAACAAGTGCAGCTACACAGTCCTGACTGGTTCTGCTGGTGACAGCACTGAGAGCCTGCTGAAGCAGCATTCGAGTCCTCAGGGAGAGACAGAGGTTATCGACACTGAAATTGCCACTCCGTCCAGAGGTATCGTATTTTCTTTTCTCATTAATTAAGTGATCAAACCTTATAGTGATTTAAATTTATAATTGCAGGCGCCATGGTTAAATCAAAATCTGCATACATGATCAAGAAAAAATACGTCCTGGATATCTCGCCGACTCAGGATGACGAGTCAAAAGGAACTACCAAGAAGCGAGTGGAATTCGACAGTTCAGCACTGAAAATGCCACGCGAACCAATATCAGTGCCAAACTTCAGCGTACTGACATTACCGACACCAGTATTAACACCAGTAGAAGCAGCCAAGTTGGTTTACTTGGACAGTGAAGACGAAAATGAGTTACTAGAAAATGAAACGAAAACTTTAGACAAGACCGAGACCAAGAACAAAGCAAACAATGAGAAGAACGCTATCTACGAGAATTTCCAAACTTTGAAGAGAGGGGAAAGTTACAGCTCTCATCTGGGATACGCCGACAATCCTCTCTACCAACAGATGATCCATTCCTTGGAGGAAAACTCTGCGGAGAACGTTTCTTCGACTTCTGATTACGCCAGTATCGAAACGGTGAACAGACTTTCCTCGACCAGCAGCTATAGCGTTAAAACTGGCACGCCTCAAGACGAGAACCAGAAGAACAGAGAGAGGGATAAGACAGGTCCTTTTGGGTTTTGTAACCCGAACTACATGGGAGTTGATATTAAAGCGATTTTAACTGAGAACAGCGACAGGAAGACCGCCGTCAAACTCTTAGCTAGCGACGACGTCAGGAACTCCGACGAAGAGGATGTGCTGGAACTACAAACCTTCAACGGTATTATTAGTAAGAACACTAAAGTGTACTATAGACACTCCAGTAGGGTGAATAGACCCCCTAGATCCCTAGCCATAGACAAGAACCCAGTCCAGTCACGCCCGAGTGTAGATAGCAAATTTAGGGCACTTAGTGCTAGTAGAATAGAGCGCAACAAGATAGAGCTGAAAACAGAGACTGCCGTTGGTCCAGGGTTAGAATCTCAAGTTCCCCTATACGTTTACATTTTCGGTGGCAAGGAACAGGGACAGGTGACGGTCTTCCAAAGGCCCATATCTATTTGGAAGTTGAAGTTGTTTTAATGTTGTTGATTCAGGAGGTTAAACTAGTTCAAAAAAAGGTGCCAATATTTTTTTAAATAAATGTAGCGGGACTAGGCGTAGCTTAAGAGATGTTATTTTCTGATTTTTACAATGATCGTTACAGTGTAGATGTGGTGGGAGAGACAGTTAACATCAATGTGTTGATGAAAACTGATAATTTTGTTTTCTCTACGCTGTCGTGAAGTGTTGATATTTTAATTCTCTCTCCTAAGTGTGAAAAAGTCACTTTAGTTAAATGCAATGAAAAAGACTTGTTTTGGAACAAAAAAACAATACTACATTTTTTTGAAAATTTATTTCAGATGAACAAATTTTGAAACAAACTAATTACATAGCATTATTTTCTTTGTTCGTTAATTGAAAAGTGTGATTCCCAATATTGCAGTGGATCAGGTTTATTCCAAACAAGGTTATCTCTTAAAACCTATCCTATCCTCCTTTAGACAAATTTTCCGCTAAATCCGAAAATGATAAAAAAAATTCTGACTTGTGAATTCTCCTCCACACACCGTCAATTCCCCCAAAAATTAAAAAAAAAACAAACTAGCCATCCAACCCACCCATCTTTAGTCAAATTTCTCGCTGAATCCGAAAATGATAAAAAGAAAAATTTCTTATATTCTCCCCCACACAAGCTCAATTCCCCTCAAATATTTAAAAAAAACCAAACTGGCCGTTCAACCTACCCATTTTTAGTAAAATTTTCCGCTGAATTCAAAAATAATAAAAAAAATTATTACGTGTGGATTCCCCCACGCCCCTCAATTCCTCCCAAAAATTTAAAAATCCAAACTGGCCCCCAACCCATCAATCTTTAGTATAATTTTTCGCTGAATCCGAAAATGATAAAAAAGAAAATTTTTTGATGTCCCCCACACACCCTCAATTCCCCCAAAAATTCAAAAAATCTAAACTAGCCATCCAATCCACCTACCAATAGTAAAATTTTCCGCTGAATCCGAAAATGATAAAAAAATTCTGACTTGTGAATTCCCCCCCATACACCGTCAATTCCCCCCAAAAATTAAAAAATCCAAACTAGCCATCCAACCCACCCAGCTTTAGAAAAAATTTCTTCTGAACCCGAAAACGATAAAAAGAAAAATTTCTGATGTCCCCCACACACCCTCAATTCCCCCAAAAATTTAAAAAATCCAAACTAGCCATCCAATCCACCTACCATTAGTAAAATTTTCCGCTGAATCCGAAAATTATAAAAAAAATTCTGACTTGTGAATTCCCCCCATATACCGTCAATTCCCCACAAAAATTAAAAAATCCAAACTAGCCATCCAACCCACCCATCTTTAGAAAAATTTTCTTCTGAATCCGAAAACTATAAAAAGAAAAATTTCTGATGTATGGATTTTCCCCCACACAAACTCAATTTCCCCTTAAAATGCAAAAAATCCAAACTGGCCATTCAACCTACCCATCTTTAGTAAAATTTTCCGCTGAATCCGAAAATAATAAAATAAAATATTACGTGTAGATTCCCCCACGCCCCTCAATTCCTCCCAAAAATTTAAAAATCCAAACTGGCCACCCAACCCACCAATCTTTAGTATAATTTTCCGCTGAATCCGAAAATGATAAAAAGAAAATTTCTGATGTCCCCCACACACCCTCAATTCCCCCAAAAATTCAAAAAATCTAAACTGACCATTCAACTACCTATCTTTAGTAAAATCCGCTGAATCCGAAAATAATAAAAAAAATTGCGACGTGTTGATTCCCCCCACGCACCCCCAATTCCCCCAATTTAAAAAATCCAAACTAGCCATCCAATCCACCTGCCTTTAGTAAAATTTCCCGCTGAATCCGAAATTGATAAAAAGAAAAACTTCTGACGTATGGACTCCCCTCACGTACTCTCAATTTCCCCCAAAAATTAAAAAAATCCAAACTGACCATCCAACCTACATATTTTTAGTAAAATCCACTGAATCCGAAAATGCCAAAAAAAATATTTGGACGTAAGGGATTCACCCTATTCATTTATATTTCTCACTTGCTTTTTTCAAAAATAATACATAGGTAAGTTGAATGGCCGGTTTGAATTTTTTGAATTTTTGGGGGGAATTGAGGGGACTCCTTACGTCATATATTTTTTTTTCATTTTCGGATTCAGCGGAAAATATTACTAAAAATAGGTAGGTTTGATGGCCAGTTTTGATATTTTGAATTTTTGGGAGGAATTAAGGGTATATGGGGGGAATCCATTCATCAGAAATGTTTTATTTTATCATTTCCGGATTCCGCGGAAAAAATTACTAAAGATAGGTGGGTTGGATGGCTAGTTTGGATTTTTTGAATTTTTAGGGGGAATTGAGGATACGTGGGGGAATCCACAAGTTAGACAATTTTTAAATCATATTCGGATTCCGCAGAATTTGAAAAATAGAGTACTTCTCATTTCTTTCTGAGCATATGTATCTTGCTGTCAGGAATTTTAATGGTAACCACAAAACCTTTGCCTTTTTTATCTTATGTTAATTGAATAATGTGAATATTTGATGTCTTAAATACAGACAAGCAGACAGTATACAGAAGACATAGCAAAGTGCTACATAGATTTTGAGGAACATTGTCCATTCACAGAGTATATCACTCTGTTTCTCGCTTCTTGTTTGTAGTTTAAACATTAAAAATACCTGCATCAATCATCGACTCTGTCACCTATGGCATCTTGATGAGGCCGAAACGAACATGTCTGAAACCGGTATATGTCTGGTGGTTCAACTGACGAGCTATTCTAGCTCTTTGCTAGGTATTGCAGGTATAATTCAATGCTGATCGAAGCATATTCGCGTAGAATATCATCAGTTAAAATTTTTCGTTTCCCCAACGTTTGGGGCTAGGGCGTGCTTTCATTATACCTGTATATACAGGTCCCTCTCTGCTGGTGTGTAGCAGTGACCATTCATAGATGTGGTTCTCCATTATGTCTTTTGTATTTCATATTGTCTTGTACAATTTTGAAGAGTAAGTTGCGATACTGCATTTTCTGTGCAGGTACGTTGTCTGAGGTGGGCCTGAGTGGTCCATAGCCCACTATAAAATATGCTGGACCGTACTGGAGCCCACCCAAATAATTTTGGAAGGATCGAAATATGGCGTAAAGTTTTTTTTGGAAGTCAGTTTTACATAACGATATGAAAGAATGTGACAGTAGTATGTCTTGTGTGTGGGTGTTTCTGAAATTGTGTACCACCTGGGAATGTCATGACCCTTCCTTGGACTTACCTTCAAGAGGAAAAATATTCTTCATCACTTGAAAAATCCATATCTCTCTTTACTTCAGTCGCACTTAACACTTATAGTCATAATATTTTAACACTTTTTTCTTCTTTATATTCACGGATTTCTTCATCACGGCAAGTATAACAAATATGGCGACCAAAACCAGATGACTTATTAGTTTGCAACCCATGCAATTGTGATTACTTACAAATTGATTTATTGTAAATATCAAAGCTTTTACTTCATTCTTCGCTAGTTTTGACAATATTTCGAAACAGTTTTCGAAAAAATATTGCTTGATACACATTACATTTTCGATTTTTTTTTATTCGCTGGCGCTAGCAAAAAAATTCTTCGTTCTTCAATATAAAAGCGAATTTAGAACCTCATAAAATTTTGTACAACTGAATTCGAACAACAAAGAATTTTTCAAATATGCACTGGAGTTATTTTACTCGCTACATTGGCTAAGTGCAAATCATAAAAAGTAACAAAAAACAACAAAATTTTCTTTGTACGTTGAGTGAAAAATCCAGACAGTCCCATGTGGACGAACGCCCATGATTTTAACAGCCTCTCCCACGAAATTCTAGTTCTAGTGTAATAATTTTCACGTTTATAATTTTCTGAAACATTGTGCAATGCATTGTTTTGTTATTTTTTAACATTGACCAAAGAGATGTTTAGAAAAGCATGCCGTTATTTCATTTCATAGATTTAGTAATTTAAACTCATTTACAGTGGCGTCTAAGACTCCAAAAGGTGGGGAAGGGGGCTCATTTGGTGAATTCAAATAATAGGTTTTGGGTAAAATTAAATTAAATTGAAATTGGGTATATTAGATTCCAAAATGTAGGTGAAAACTTAACGGACAAATGTAGGGGATCACTAGCGCCCCTCATGCACGCCCCTGCACTTTTGATAGCAATAGGCATAGAGTAGGTATTCTACTTGTTAAAAAAAAGAAGAATATACGCCAATTTAGAAAACGGACAAGCAAATATTTTAAAACTATATATTTTTAGTTTCCATGGGCCGTTTAGGTTTTTATAACAACGAAATTTTATTTTAGGCTATCAAAATTTAGTTAAAAAAGACATTTCATTTTTCCAGAATTTCCTTATTTACATGAAAATAAATGAAGTTGCATTATAAATAAAAATTACAAATATTATGCTGCTGTTAAAGGTAAGTAACAGTTTAATTAAATACACAGGGTGTTTCGGGATTAAAAAATAACATCTAAAATATCTCTGAAGGTGCTTAACCTAAAGTGAAGAAACTTGGTCTAAGTATTTAATGAAACATACAAATTTTTTTGGATTCTGAAGAATCCAAGAATTTCGACGTCACTGGCAACTCTATTACTAATTTTAATTCCTAATGACGTTTCTAAGAAAAAAAAATTGATTCTAAAATCGAACCATTTCTGAATTATTACTATTATTTAACTTATTAACCGTTACTCGTTTCATTCACTTCAGATTTTTTTGTATTAGAAATGCGATTCTAAATAAATTGTACTATGAAAATGAAATGAAAATATCATTGACGTAGAAATGTTGCATTTCCTCGACGTAGTGGAAAATCCTCGGGAGTAACCGCTTGAACACGTTGAATATGAAATGGGTACAACTGAGCTGCTCGTAATGTCCGACACACAACAGGATGCGAAATATTTATTTGCCGTGTGATATTTCTGGTGCGGGTGCACGTCGTTCAGGATATCTTGCACGGTACACTTGACAAGCTCTGTGAGCATATCATAATATTCGCAATTGTTAAATAAAGGCACCATTTTCAAAAGAAAACTTGGAAATACGGCTATTAAAGTACTCTCGAAAAACAGCACAGCAATCACTACA